GTGCAGCTTTAAAGGTTCTGATGGGTTCTGGAGCGTTCTGCTCTGATTTTAGGAGGAAATGCGTTGATGTCATTTTCCAGTTTAAACGGAGAGAAAAAAACCTTCATAAATATAGAAACTGTGGAGAATCGACACCAGAAGTGAATAAAGTTGCTGTAGTTTCATCCATGTTTGAATGTTGTGCCTTTATTTTGGTAGCAGGATGTGAGGTCAGCAGAGTGTTGCTATGGAAACGGTTTCACATGCAGATCTCATGTGAAAACGACAGACCTGCATTCCAACATGCCTCTGGTTTGGGCCGGGTCCGGTCCGACTGGCAGAGCGGCTCTCCGCTTCACATAATGATTCACACCAGAACCAGAGAACCGGGCCGGCCCAGAACCGGGCCGGCAGGTTCCACACACCACAGGCTGTATGTAAATATCTGACCCCTTTGGATCAGAGGAAAATCAAAGTCATTGATCCGAATCCTGCAGATTTAAATCTGTTCCCCCAGGAAAATAAAACGGTTTCAATAAGAGGTGAAGAGGCTGGTCTTCATATGGCCTGGAGGAAACAATCCTGAGTTACTCTGGGGTCAAAGGTCACATGAAACCTGTCTGGGCACAGCAGCAGAGAATCAGATCTGCAGTTTTTAGTTCTGTTTGGACCCAGGTTCATGCTGGATGAGAATTTTACAGGAAAATGACGACAATCTGTTTTTATAAACATTTAATTCATTTTTTAAAATGATTCCTGTTAAACTTTCAAGGATTTCATAAGAAACGTCCTGGAGTTTCTAAGGATGGATTCACACCAGCCCTCTTTTATCTGCTGTAATCCAACTCCAGTCCGTTTGTCCAGAACGTCCAGTTCGGTTGGTGAGGTGTGACCTCTGACCTCTGACCTTTGGTCCTCTGAAACTCTGTCTGGGTTCAGTTGAAGTGGTTCAGTTTGAATGTGAACCGGAGACCGCTCCAACAGCAGGAAGTAGACTACAGCGCAGGGGATTCTGGGTAAATCCAAACAATGCTAACATGTTAGCCTAGCGCTAGCAGCAGAAATGGCTCCTGGTCTTTAGCCTACAGAGAAATCCTCCATCTTGTTTCCACCTGGTGAAGAAGGAAGTTGCTCTCAGCGTCTTCAGAGGTTTTTGTGTCGTTTCCTTCAGTGGTTCTTGGTGCAGCGCCCCCACAGGCCAGGAGGGGAACAGGTTGGTTTGACTCAGAGCCACAGCAGCTGGAGGTGGAGCAGATGTTCTGGTTCCAGTAGAACCGGGTCGACCGGACTGAAGGAGGAAACATCCTGGATGTAAACTCAGCCTGTTGGGTGATGTTTTGTTCACCGCTCTGACTGTCGGCTGCTTCGGTAACTGCCTCTAATCCGTATCATTCCTGTTTCCCATCTGGACCCAGATCTGGTCATTTCTGACTGGTTTCTTCCATTTCTAGAGACTAAAACAAGTTTTTATTTCTGTATCTGGACCAAACTGATGTTTTTCCTCTTGCAGTGATTTTGTTTTTCCAGGCGATGGTCGTCTCTGCGGTTCCTTCCTCCATAAAGCAGCTCTGATGCTTTGTTTGCTCCACTTTATTTGATTTCTGCTCCGTCTGCAGCTCATTTGGATGTGATTAGTGTGTTACTCAGGAGGCGGAGCAGACTGGTGGGTCATCGCTGATGAATGTGAACAACAGAAAATGAGCCAATTGTTTTCAGGAGTCTTTTATTTTTCTCTTGTTGGACTAAAGCTCTGATCTGCAGAAGTTTCTCAACGTTTGAATAGAAACCGTCTGAAAAAGCTTCAGGCTTTCTCTCAAAGTTCATCTCCAGGTTCTTTTCTCCTTTTTGGTTTTATGATCGAACCTGAAACAGAGAAGAAGAAACAAATTAGAGCTGCAGATGTTTTGCATGAGCTACGTCGTCTCTATTCAAATCTCCTGTGAGTGCATGGACAGAGTTCAACTCGTCCAGCCTGAAACAGATGAGATCACCTCAGCAGTGTGTGTGTGTGTGTGTGTGTGAGAGAGAGATGACAGCTGACGGATAAAATACGTTTTTCTTCGACAGCAGCTGCAGAACCCATCAGGTCTGAAACCTGCTGCACATTTTCTGTTTGTATGTTGAACAGAAGTAGGTCAGATGGCAGCGGCCTCCGTCCGACGGTCGCTAACGTCTTTGTATTTTCTATTTTTAACTTTCTATATTATTATTAAAATGAGAGATCATGAAGTAAACATCAGTTTTTGCTAAAAGCTTGAGTTTGCGCTGTAGGTCCTGCTGCTGCTGTTTGGGGTCAGAGGTCGTTTTCCAGCTGAGCCTCCCGGTGGAGGAGGAAGCAGGATATCCACGCCGTTCGGTCGCAGTCGGCAGGGATTCATCAGGAGCTTTTATGATCCATATTGTTCAGAACCGAAGGAAGAAAACAAGGAGATTCAAAATGCAGCTGCTGCTTGGGAAAAAGCAGACTGGCCCTTTAAATATCTAATGTTTTATACAAATGATATTAAACAGAATCTTCTGATCGATTATTGCTATTAAACTGTCGATATTTACATCATTTCAAAGCAGCAGGTCTGGATTCATGATGAGGTTTTATTTTCCTGATAAATGACTCATCATATTTTTTATATATATTATTGCTGCTTCCTGATTCGCTCTCTGGGTTTTTCATCCGATGTGACGCTGGCGTCCATTTTAACTGGGACCTGCTGTTTCCCACTGGGAGGACCATCAGAAACCCGACGTCAGCTCTGGCCCTGCACCAGACGACGGCGATGATGATGAAGTGAAACATCTGCATGTTCATCCGTGAAGATGAGGCTTAAAATGCCAGTTTCCTCCAACTGGAGCAGATGATTCCCAGTGCGACCAGTTGGAGCCTCCAGGAGACGAACCAGAGGAAACAGAACCTGCAGAGCTTCACTGGTTTTGCTTCTGTAGGATAATATCTGAGGGTTTTCTCAGCAGATCCAGACTGACGAACTGGATCTGCTGCAGAAACATAATAACAGTAAAATCAATAATCATAATGGTCATTTATTAGTGATGGTAAAAGAAAAAATGATTAGTATGTCACATTTCAGTAACAAGGCAGTTCAAAAGCAAACATTTCATTTTGATGAGCGCCATCATCACATGATCAATACATGATCAAACATATTGGTTAGTGTTCCAGTTATTATGGTTCAACAGTAACTTTAAACTGATGGACTTTTGGCTTTGATTTAAAGGAATAATAATAATAAATTAATCGCTATAATCAATACCTGCTGCTGCTGATTATTACTGCTTAATGTTGGTAAAACAATTGCTTGTTTTATTATCAATAATAAAAATAAATTACTTAAAAAAACCGAGTTGTATAATGTAAAAATAAAATGCATAGTTTGAGTTTATTAATATTAGCCAAAACGTTTAACTTGTTTGGCTCCGCCCTGAAAATCAGATTAGCATCTGGTAGCTGCTAATTACGAATGCATTACTAGTCCCATTAGTGGACATTATGGTTCATAATTTATTTATGTAATTATAAATGTCTTTTTCAGTCATAATTTGGAAAGACTAGAAAATATTTTTAAACATTTCCAGAGTCGATAGATGTTTTGGTAGCGGACATTTTGGATTTGAAGTTTCATTGAACCTGCAGGTTGTCATCAGAGAATCGGGCTGGAGGAAAGTCTTTGTTCTGGAATGACCCGGTTTGACTCGGGTTCAGTGATGTTGAAGCCCGGTTTGGTTTATTTGTTCCTGTTTCTGCAGACGGCTGATAAAATCTCAGGCTGTTGAAACGCGTCCAGGAGTGGAAACTTACAGGGAAACACGGATATTTAACGCCTTCCTGCAGCCATCGGGTCAGAACACGTTTGCTGTAAAAACAAAACCGTCAGGAGGCGGCGCAGCACCTGCTTACCGTTAACGAGTATAAACCTGGAAACCGGGCTTTGACTGGGACGTTCTCTGGTCTTCAGTGTCCGGCGCGGTGGTGGAGGGATGATGCTGTGGGCCGAACCCGTCTGGAAACGGGAAACCATCCGTCCAGCAGCTGGAACTATGACCCAGAATAACGCTGTATTAGAAAAGAGTCAGGGTTTTGCAGTGGTCTAGTCAAAGTCCAGACCCTGCTCTGATGATGATAGGTCCGAAATTGGCGAGAAAAAAAATCAGTTTTGCAATTAAAGGCATTAAAATCCAACATCAAGTCTGATATTTTCTGACAGACATTTTGTTATCTGGATGTTTTTTCTGGCATTTTGTTGCTGCAAATGTCAGATTTTATTTTATTTTTTTAGATTTTTTCTGATAAATTAAAACCTTTTTATATATTTATATACTTATCAGATTTATGAATTAATGTCAATGAATGTTATTTTTGATCTGAGGAGGATGTGCTCCAGTAAGAGGAGAAATACTTAACATATTTTTCACTCATGAAATGTGCAGAGCAACTGGTGAGAATATTTGATATTTAAAAACGATGCCATCAGATGGATGAAAAGTTTAAAGTGTAAATTCTGGTATTTTTAAAGCTAAAGTGTAAAAAAAATAAAAAGAAACATAATTACAAAATAAATTAAAGCAGAAGAAAAATGTGTATGATTTTGAAATTGAAACCCATTAAATGAAAACGGTGGATGATGTCGGGGTGGAAGCAGCTGCAGTGACACGAATGTTACTGAAGTAAGAAGAACTGTTGGCATAGTTACTCCTAAAAGTCCGTTTAATTACTCAAGCAAATGTAACTGAGTAAAAGTTTGGAAAACCAAACATTTGAATCATCTATAAATGATATTTTATATGTTAGCAGATTTTTCTGACGCTCTTCTTCACTCAGTGGATTTTCTTGCAACAAAGTTTTGCATCTAAAAACCGTTTAATTGTTTCTCTTAGTGAATCTGATTTGTCTGGACTCGGTTTGAGTCGGATCTGGGTTTCTGGGTTTCTGGGTTTCGTCTTCCTGACCATCGGCTCTGTGGAGGCTGACCAGCTGACCGTCATGTTTGTTTCTTCTTCTCTTGGTTCAGGCCAGGCGGAGGCCGAGCTGAGCGACTTCGCTCCGTACTACAGGAAGCAGTTCTCGGTGGCCCGGTTCGCCCAGGTGGAGGACGAACTGCAACAGAACAAACAGCAGATCACTCAGCTGCTCGAGCAGAAGGTAACGATGCCTCGCCGGGCGTCTCCATGGAGACGTCAGCGCTCAGATGGACGCTAATGGATGTTGATGTTCCTCTGAGAAGTGGGTCGATGAATAAATGATGACCTGAGGGTCAGCGTGGCTTTCAACTCAGCCAGGATAAGGGCTGGCCTTTGACTAGGCCACTGTAACATATTGATTCTTGTATTCCAGCTGCATTGTTTGGGTGACTGAAGACGTGCCCAGGCCATCACACCACACGACCTTATGACCTTTCCTAGATTCACAAAAAACCTGATTTTAATATCTAGATAAAGGTCATGAACTCAAGTTTAAATGCCGACATTTAAATTGAACATAATTTACATATTCTATATTGTCCTTTGATATTATAATTATGTTTACGTCAAACTCTTTAATGTACATGTTTTAATTTGTTACTGTTTCCTGTTTGAAAAGAAAGAGAACATGAGGACAGGAAGCAGAATTTCTGAGTAAACAGTCTTACTTCAAAATAAGAGCAAGAATATAAATATGTAACTACTTGAATTCTTAACAGTTGATAAAGAGCCTCAGTTTCTTCAACTGGAAGTTTACAAAACAGCCAACAAAATTAGCGCCAATGAATTTATTCAGAAATATTAACTTAGGAGAAGCTAAGTGCGCTAATCGTTTTCAAAGTTAGCATCCGCTCCTCTTCATGGCTTCATTTCCTCCTTTATACCCGTTTCTACCACCAGAAGGCGCCAGAGGAAGCCATCGTCCTCTACGACGACGCCGTGTGGTACTTTGATGACAGCAGGAAGTGGAGGGAGCGGATCGTTGTGGTGAGAGCAAACTACTGCCTGGAGTGTCATGAAAGCCTGCAGGTGAGTGAAAAACTGCTCTGGTACCAACCTGATGCGCCGGAAGGTTCTGCTCATAACCCGGTTCTGGTTCTGCTGTCAGTCTTATGTTAAAGGAGCCAACGCGCTTTACAAGCTGCTGCCTACAGGGGGCACTATTCTGACCACAGAGGAGAAGTACATGGAGATGGTGGACAAATGCTACCCTGATGACAGCAGTGAGTAGAAACTGTTAGTTCAGGTTTCTCTGTTCCCCCATATGGGTCCCATATTTATGCTATTCCTTTAGCTTGGTGGCCATTAGCCATTAGCTTGGAATTTTACAGCCAAACTGTTTGGTGGAGAAACTTTTCTTCAGACCAGACTCTAAACTGACCAAGCAGGAGGAGAAGTTTTCAATACAGTCATTACAAGTTTAGAGAAGAAAGACATGAAGTCCTGCTGTCAGACTGAACATGTGTGCTCTTGGATTATGGCAGGAAAATTCCTCCATATGGGTTCAGCTGAATGAACTCTGGTTCGGTTTGAATATTTACGCCAAGCTCCCTTAACTGCTTCAAAAGCAGGAAGTGGACTACAGCGCAGGGCATTCTGGGTAAGTACAACCAAAGCTAACATGCTAGCCTAGCGCTAGCAGCAGAAATGGCTCCTGGTCTTCAGCCTAAAGAGAAATCCTCCAACACTAAAATCTGACGCCTCCATCTTGTTTCCATCTGGTGAAGAAGGAAGTTGCTCTCAGTGTCTTCAGAGGTTTTTGTGTCGTTTCCATCAGTGGTTCTTGGTGCAGCGCCCCCACAGGCCAGGAGGGGAACAGGTTGGTTTGACTCAGAGCAGAGAGAGAACCACAGCAGTTGATGGAGTTCTGGTTCCAGTAGAACCAGTTCTACTTCGTCTTTACCCTAAAAAACTCGTTTTGAGATCATCAGAAACCTCCAGGCATGTTTTGATTGTGAACGTCTGAGAACCTCACATGAACTGTGGTGTGCCTCAGGGATGTTTTCCTGGCCTCTCTTCCTTTATTCCCATGATTGCTTTAGGCCAGCTCATCCACCATCAGGCTGCGGAGGATTATTTCTACGACACTCAGATGTCAGACAGCCTTGGTTGTTATTCCATTTTGAGACAATCTTCTATGATTTGTTGGTAAATTATGAACCTTTTGACCCTTTAATCCTCGAAACGATCAAATATTGAAGCTTTTTGGATTTCGTTCTCGGCTCCATATCTTCGTCTCGGTGAGATCAGTGCTGCTTTGCTGTCAGGATCAGGAGAGTTCCAGGTTTCTGCTCCATCATTAGTCGGTTTTACTGGAGGCTGAAATAGTTTGGAAACAGTTTAATGTGTTCTAACCTGCCTGGTTGACCTCTAACCCCCTGCTGCTTCCTGTTACCTGATCCAGTCTCTGCGTTAAAGCCGATCCAGTGGCAGTTCGTCCCACTCAGCAGAAATCAATGATGCAACAATTTCTGCTCTGAAAACAAAGCATCTCTGCTCTGCGTCAGAACAAACCGGCTGCTGGATTCCTTCAGGTTTCTGCTCCTCAGAAGGAAAGTTTTGTTTTGACTTCACTCAGTTTTTGCAGCTGAGTTTGGATTGAAGCTTTAACCAGTCAGAGCTCCTGTCGCTCGTATCTGGAGGTCAGGCTGTAGCATCGGACTGAACGGAAAAGAAACGTGTCATCAGTCCTGTGGAAAAACAGAACTTAGATTTCATTTTGCATATTCAACATAAACATTGGTTATAAATGGATGATGCAGGATGGACCATGAGAAACGGACCTGATGTGTTTGTGTTCAGCTCATCCTCTGCAGATCATGATTGTTATTATTATTATTATTATTATTATTACTATTTTGTCTATTTTTCTGACTACTTCTACAACCAGCAGTCTCATTTCTTCTGTGTTTTCTACTGCTGATGATTACTATTTCTTGTACTAAACTATTTTTATTTCTTCCTCTCTTACAACCTTTTTAGCAGCAGTATTTCTTCTTCTTCTACCATTTTTTCGCTGCTACTTGAAGGTGAAATAGTTTTTATTTTCCTCTGAGATCAAACTGGCTACAAACATCAAACACCTGATGGAGGAAAAACTTCCAACAACAAATATGATTCTGAAAGGATTATTAATCATCCTGCGAGTTAGAAACATTAAATAATCGCTGCTGCTGTTGAAAGAATCCAGACAGGAAACAGGAAGTGATTAAACAGTTCTGGTTGAAGCTGGACCAATAAGAGGACGGTTCTGCTCAGTCCAACCTGGAGTTTTTCCTTCTGTTTCAGACGTGAAGGAGGAGTTCGCTCCTCCTCTGCCGGGGATGCCGGGGCAGTTCCCCGTCTACCTGCGCCTGCCCTACAGGAGGGATTACTACTTCTGCTTCAAGCAGGAGGCCAAGCGGGCCACCTTCATCTCCTTCCTGTCCGACTGCATCAAGCACCAGAACCAAGGTGGGAAACGACGTTCAGTCCTGCTGCTTCCTGCTGATCAGATGAGAATCAGACGCTTAGCTGCTGCAGAAAAACGAGAGGAGTTTTATCTCCCGTTTGCTGCTCAGCATCACAGCTGAAGGTTAACTAGCTTCCCTGTGGTTGCCATGGTGACAGGCTCGCCTGAGCACCTCGGGAACCTTAGATGATGCAGATCTCCGAGGCTGATGAACGAGCCGACAGACTGATCCTGAACTCTGCTGCGTTTCCGCCAGACTTCCAGAAGAAGAAGACGTGTGAAGTCCAGGCGTTCCTGAAGGCCATCCAGCTGTTCCGCCAGGACCGGGGCCAGTACGAGGCCTGGGGCATGCTGATCGGCAGCGACGTGCGGGTACGTCTGCAGCGTCGGCCGCTCTGATCTCCTCAGTCTGGTTTTAGAAGAAAAATGCTCTTTATTGAGATAATCTAGATGGCGGTCGGTCCTGAACTTCTTAGTGTCGCTTTTTTAATCATAATTCTGAGTAAACAAAAGTTCCCCCTGGAGTTCCTCAAGGTTTTGTTCTTGAGATGCTTTCATTCAACACCTATAAGCTTCCACTGACTGCACTGCAAAACAATAAATCTTACCAAGTAGTTCTGGTCCAGTTCTACTTCCACTGGCAGATGAAGGAAGAATATCATATCAGTGAAAAAATCTGCCAATTTTAACTGGAACTTTTTCATCAATACTACGGAGTTGTTGACTCAAAGCCTGTAATTCGTGCTAAAAAGTCACTTTTATAAGTTAGTTTGATCTTATTTTGAGTGTATTAAGATATTTGCTGTAGAAACGAGACCAGACAGTTTATGAATATGAATCATTATCACACTAATATTCACCTCTTTAGGTCCAGAGGATCCATCAGTGGGTCGGACTTCCTGAAGCCTTTCACAATAAAACACAAGTCTTTGTTTTTGGTCCCGAAACAGAAACGATGGAGATCAGAAGTGAACTAAATGAGGAGTGAAACCCGGATCAGCTGACTACCACCGTGAAAACCTGTTACAGTAAAATGTTTCACGTCTCAACAGGAAACAGAAAAACTGCTGCATCTTCTTGTTTTCAGCAGAAAGTGTCACATTCCTGCCAAAAAGCCCGACGAGCAGGAAGCAATCAGAGCAGCAGAGTCATGAATCCAGAGAGAAATGCCACAGGCGTTTCCATTTATTCTCTGGTCCTTGAACGCAGCACGCTGCCTCTGACTGCATGTTTCCTCTGTGCATTACAGGCCAATTTCATGAAATGAATTCGGCCTCGAACACTGCAGATGGTGTGTGTGTGTGTGTGTGTGTGTGTGTGTGTGTGTTACGGCTCAGCGCGCTGCTTTCATGAGGCAGACTTAAACGGTTTCTCCCTTAATAAACGCGCTCCTCAATGTTTTTGGCAGGAATGTGACTCCATACCAGCAGGTCACCATCCTACTAAAAATCAGTCAGTGGTTCCAAAAGATCACTGGAACACCAGGACCAGACCCAGGACCAGGCGAGGCAGCGTTTGTTCCCGGTTCCGGTCCTGCCTGGTCCCAGTTCCGGTTCTGGAACAAACGTCCTGAAAGCATCAGATCAGGACTCATTTCCATTCCCTGCGTCTGCAGGAAGTGTCCAGGTTTGTTGTTCTCCTCGCAGCGTTTGCGGCTCTTCCAGCTGCGTTTTCCTCTGGATCCGGCCGGAACCGCCCACGCCGCCACATTGTGAGCTGCTGTTGTTTCAGGAAGCTGAGCTCAGCGTTAACTCACACTTCCTGTTGCTAACAAACCCTGCAGCTCAGGCTCTGCTTCAGTCAGAGCTGAGTAACGACTGGTCTTCACTCCACACCTGCAGTCTTGCATCACACTGAACACTGAACCATTGTTTAGAAAGAACGCTACATTTTTAGCTGCATGTTCAGTTATTTTTCCAGAAATGAAACAAACTGCTCCTAACAGTCGCAGCTTTTAAAAGGCAACAATCAGCTGACCGGGTCGTCGGGGTCAGACGTGTCCCTTCCTGGCGGACCGGAGCCTCCAGAACCCTTTACCTCCATCGGATCGTCTCCCTCTCTCTGAGTACATTCTACCTCTGCAGCTCTATAAACTGATAATAGTGAAAAACTGTCACAGTTACAGCCAAAAATGACCAGCAATAATTTATCTGTTCAGCCTGTCATGAGAGAAAATGCTTTGTTTTCAAAGACATATTTTAAATGTCACAAACGCAATAGTTAGTTAGTTGGTTAGATATTTAACTTCCCAGCTACATATTTAACTAACCAACTAAATATTTAGTTAGTTTACTAACTAAATATTTAGTTGGCTCCTCAGACCTTTAAGCTTCCAGCTGCTGTCGGTCGGTAGAAGGACCTAATCGCTTCAGCTTCATCTTAAAATCGTCTAAGATGGATGAAAAGTTCTGACTGGACCCGGGTGGAACCGGTTGGGTTTGATGCTCCAGATGTTGACAGCTGGACTGCGTTCTGCTTTCAGGTGATGGCCAACCTGGTGATGGAGAAGCTGCTGCCGTCGCTGGGGAAGGACCTGCTGCCTCGCCTCAGAGCCAAGAAGACCGACAGGAAGAAGGCTTGGTTCATCGTGAGTCCGATCAGAACCTTCAGAATTTCCTTCTAAAACTTGTAATCTGGGCCGGCGGTTGAAACGATCCGACTCCTCTACCTGCCAGACGATGGAGGCGGCCTACATCCTGGTCCAGGAGCATCTGCTGGAGGGCCTGGCAGCTCTGAAGGAGGAGTGCAAGGTGTCCGTCCAGCAGCAGGAGGTTCTGATGCGCTCCGACATGGACCAGATCCTCAACACCAGGCGGCAGCTGGAGGAGAAGATCCGAGGTAACCGAGCCGCCTGCAGCACCAGGCTCAGAGCTTCTGCCGGTTCTGTTCTGATGTCCGACTCTTTTCTCCAGCCAAGGTCTCTGAGCCGGCGGAGCAGCTGTGCTCCGAGTCCGTCCAGCCCTACCTGGGCTCGGTTCTGGAGGAGCTGATGGAGCCGATCAGCTCCGGCTTCATGGCCAGCCGGCAGCTGATGGAGACCAAGATGGACGAGGTGTACCAGGCCGTCCTGCAGGGAGCCGACAACGACAAGCTGAAACAGGTCTGGAACTACCGGACCCCGTCCGGTACCTTCACACTGTAGAACTTCACCTGTACAAGACTTGGTTTCCAGGTTTCCTCTCCAGAGAGCCGAGCTCTGATGGGCCCAGTATGGTGGGTCCCAAGTCCAGACCCGGTCGCCTGGTTTCAGGACGTTCATGTTCACTCAGACCCTTCATGGTCCGGTCCGGTCCGGTCCGGTCTGAGCCGAGCCGAGCCGAGCTCCTGCTGCCGATGAACCTTCACAAAACGGCCCACTGAGCCTTAAACTTCAAAATAATGCGCTCCTCTAAAGCTTTCCAAAAAACAGGCAGCTGGCAGCCTAGAAATCGTTTTTATTTAGTGGTAGGATCCGAGTCGCTTCATCGTCGGCCTCTAGATGATGGCAGAGGACTGCAGCTCTGTGTGCTCAAGTTAACTTCATTAACTTCATAAGCAAGACTAGTAAGATGCACTTATGGAGAAGGTATAATCATTAGTAACCATGGAAACAATGCTCCACCATCATGTAGCCTACCATGTATGAAAAACACTGTTTAGCATCGAGACTTTTAAGTCTGCTTCAGTGTAAGTGGAAACGCCGTTTATGACCGAAACGACCCGATCGTGATGAAACGCATCAGGAGGGAGGCGGTTTCTGAGCGTCGATGGGTTAGCGACACACAAATTAGCTCAACTTGAACAAAAACTGGCAAAAACAACTTGGGAGAACAATGGCAGTCGCTCCATTCAACACTCCGGTTCCTCACTGCTGACCGGCCTCAGGACTGAGGAACGTCGGTGCAAAGGTGTTTCCAGATCTACAGAGGAACCACCGATACGACTTTGGAGGACGAGGAAATGATTGACGAGCCGCAACATCTAGTTTTACTGAGACAATGTTATCAAAGAAATAAAGAAGTGAAGGTGTTGGAAACATCGGACCAGAACCGAGTCGGGGATCAATATTTACCGACGGCCTTGAACAGCAGCTCCTCAGAACTACCCATGCTGCACTCTGGCTGAAAAACCTCTTGCTACTGACCGACCGTGCACAGATAGTCAGAAGTCTGAAGCTGAGTATCACTGTTTCTGCTTAAACACCCACAAAATTCAGACCAATCACAGAACAGCTTAACTTCAGAGGGGGCCAAACTTTCACCAGGCGATTGAACAAGAAGAGGCAGACGACGTGAGGCTGAGAACAAACGTCCCAATCGTCGTCACACCACTTTGACAATGAGAACCGATTTCAGCAGAGGACTCTGCTCTGAATCCGTTCTTCTGTTCTTCTGCCTCTCAGGCTTTGGGTGAGATGGCGAGACCGAACTTGCTGGACTGCTGCCTGAAGATCAGCTCCCTGCAGGGCAAACTGAAGCACCTGCAGGAGCGCTTTGGGTTCAGCACCTTGACGGCGGTGACCCATGGCGCTCAGATCGACCTGCAGCAGGTGCGCGGCTGAGCTGCGTGTTTTACGGTGAGTTCTGCGGGAACCTGCTGGAGGTCTGATCGTCTCCTCGCTGCTTCCAGCTGATGGAGAACGCGGCGTACACGCTGGAGCTGATGCTGAAGAAAGCCATGGAGGACAACCCGGAAACGGCCGGCGCCGTCATGGACAAGGCCAAGCACCGGATCCTGAAGGTCAGTTCAGGACACCGTCACATGTTTTCAGGCAGGTTCTGGTCTGGGCTTTGACTAGACCACTGCAACACATTTATTCATTTTCTGTTGATGACCCAGTTGGGTCAGAACTTGAGCTGTTGAACAGATGGACTCACGTTCAACTCTAGAAGACATCGGCCCAGTCAGTGACTTTAAAGATAAAAATACACTTTCCAGGGGACCAGCCGAGGCATGCTACTTGCTAGGCTATTCAATGCTAATGCTAGCCTACGCAATGCTAATGCTACCATATTCAAGTCTAACACTAGCCTGCCTGTGCTAATGGCCACTAGTGGAAGAAAGCATGACCAACCTAGGCATGCTAAGGCTAGTGGGTCTCATTTGGCAGTGCCGTCCGCTCAGCTACCAGTGCCGGTTGCTAGGTTGCCAGTGCCGGTTGCTAGGTTCCCAGTGCCGGTTGCTAGGTTGCCAGTGCCGGTTGCTAGGTTGCCAGTGCCGGTTGCTAGGTTGCCAGTGCCGGCCTGTCGTTAGATCGGTAGCCTCCTGAAACCAGCAGCTGCCCTCTGCTGGCTGCACAACAGGCTCAGTTTTGGCGTTGAAACGTGAATTTTCCCTGTAGGATAATAAAAATAATTTCTATTCTATTTTCACAAACAAAGCTGTCCCACAGTTTATGTCTGAGACCAACATCTAAAGTTAACACTCCTTTGACCTCTGACCTCTTCTCCCTGCAGCAATTCGACTACGACAGCAGCACAGTGAGGAAGAGGATCTTCCAGGAAGCCCTGGTCTCCATCATGCTGCCCTTCATCAAGAAGAACCTGGCCGACTCCTGCAAACCCGTAAGTCTCCTCCAGACCCGCCTGCAGCTCTGAGCATCAGACATCCGGTTCTGTCCTCACGCCGGTCCGGTTCTGTCCTCACGCCGGTCCGGTTCTGTCCGCCCACAGGAGCTCCAGGGTCTGGAACAGACCGTCTACACTGACTACGCCAACTTCATCCACGTGGAGAACGTCTATGAGAACATCCTCCTGCAAATCCTGGACAAGGAGGTTTCTAAGGGTAGGATGCAGCACCGCACCCTCCTCCTCCCTCCTCCTGCTAACCTCTCCTGTTCTCTGCCGGTCCTCCAGTGGTGAAGGAAGCTGCCAGCCTGCATAAACACAACCTGTTCAAAGCGAGCAGCCGCGCCAGCCTGTCCTCCATGTCCACGCCCAGCAGCCCCGCCCCGGCTCTGGCCTCCTCCATCAGGTCCCCGTCCCAGGCTCCTCCGTCTCCTCTGGCCGTCAGCAGGCCGCCCCCCAGTCCCACGAAGGGGGCGGAGCCAAAGAGGGAGAACGTAGGAGAAGTGCTGCAGGCGGCCGAGACGCTGCTGAAGGAGGTGGAACCGACAGCGGACCGGCCAGACGCAAAGCTGCCAGCAGCCGAAGGAACCCAAACGTTGAAGGTAGAAGTGATCAGCTCAGCAGAACCAAAACCTCCTTCAGCCGAGACTCTGGACCCATCAGAACCACAGATCCAGGAAAATCTTTCTGTCCAAGCAGAAGAGCCCAGAACCCAGAGAACAGACCAACAAGAGGCAGAAACCACTTCATCAGAACCTCCAGCTGTTTGTCCAGAACCTCCAGCTGTTTGTCCAGAACCTCCAGCTGTTTGTCCAGAACCTCCAGCTGTTTCTCCAGAAGTTCCAACTGCTGCAGAACCTCCAGCTCCAGAACTTTCTTCTCCAGATACTCTGGCTACAATTGCAGAACCTCTGGCAACTGTAGAGCCTCCAGAACCTTCTGTTGTTGCAGAACCTCCTGTGTCAGAACCTTCATCTGCTTCAGAACCCCCATCTGCTGCAGAACCTTCATCTGCTGCAGAACCCCCATCTGCTGCAGAACCTTCCGTTGTTTCAGAAGCTCCAAGTCTGGACCAAACCGATGAACCTGTGGATCTTCCAGCAGAAGAAACCGGATCCCAGCCTGCAGCCGCCAGCCAGCAGCCATCAGCCATGCTGGCGGCTCCCCCTGGTGGTGAAGAAGCAGAAGACGTCAGCCTGAAGCTACAGCTGAAGACGGAGGACACAGACTCCCTCTCCGCCTCGGATCCCAACTCCCTGGCCGTGTCAGTGCGAAGTGACTCTCCACGGTCCGACCTGGAGTCCACAGAAGGAACCTCAGAAACCTCGGAGCTCCTGGAGGTCCAGTCAGCGCTGAGCCCAGAGGAAACATCTGAGGACCAGACCTCAGCGGGAGAACCGTCCGTCAAGGCTCAGACCGGAGAGGTGGAGGCCGGAGCCACGGCGGAGAGTCCGGCAGAACCAGATGGTGCTGCGTTCTCCCCGCCCGCCGGGAACGGTCCCGGCGAGCCCGATGTCCGGCCGCCGGACTGCGTGAAGGAGATCCGCAACCTGGTGGTGGAGGTGATCGAGGTGGAGGAGCCGATGCATCAATATCCCAAAGAGGAATGAACTGATGGTGGGGGGATCCAGAACCAGAACCACCTTAAACTCCTGCATGAAGATATAGTAACTTATTTAAACAAATCATTTATCAGGTTTTAGCCGGAAGCTACTTTAGGAACTTTTGGACTTTTTATTCTGGAAACTTTTCCAAACTGTTTGGCTTCATGCGAGCTTCATCCTCCAGAACTTCACCGGGTTCCTGCCGATGGGGTTCTGCAGGAACCCAGTGATTCTTTCCTATCCGACCGGGTCCAGAACTCCAGGATACGACGGCATTGATAGAAAAAAAAAGAAGCTAATTTCCATTAAAAAAATCTCAGAAATGTTCAAGAAAAAAAACTGATTTCTGATTCAAAAATCCAAACTTTCAGAGCTCTGAAACTGGTTTTTCTCTCAAGAATTGCTGATTTTTTTTTGGCCATCAAATTTTTGTTTTGTTTTGGTTTTCTTGTTTTGGAAAACAAGAAAACATATTCTTGTTTTCTAAAAAAAACAAGAATATTTCTGTTGGAATTTAGAGATTTTTCTCATATTTGTGAGATTAATTTAAAGATTTCCTTTTCTTTGTAGCAAATTTTCAACTGTTCAAATTCAGTTATTTTTTCTGGAAAATTAACCTCAAAAATGTGAGTTTTGTCAGGAATGTAGTTCTTTACTGCCGTCGTACCAGCAGCTGACCGGACCCAAGAAATGTTCATCACTCGCCTACTTCCAGACGTTCCAGGACGAGATTCCTGCTGTTCCTACTGAATCCTCCAGATCTGGATAAAGTTGATCGGATTTTCTGGTTTCATTAAATCCGACATGAGGAATCCCAGCAGGGACTGAATTCATGTTCTACCAGAACCGTCTGGTTCAGGAGCAGCATTCTGGGACCAGCTGGTTCTGCTCCATGGATGAACTGGATTTAGTGGGAATGTAAAAGACGCGGTGCCTTCGCTGTCCCTCCAGTGGCCTTAGAGGCGCTGCCTGGAGGCTGTTGCCATGGAGACGGGTATGATCCTCACCAAAGTGCCTGCATCGGACCGGTTCTGTTCTCCCAGTAAAGCAAACGCAGCAGGACGATGACGATGTCTGAGTTTTTATTTCTGGAATCAACATTTATTACACATAAATTCATTTCTCAGTTATAGATGCACCAGATTTTACATTCAGATAAACTAAAGCTCTGCAGTCAGACTGAACATGTGCAGAAGAAGCAAAACGATGCAGGTTAGACCAATCAGCAGGATTCTGTTCGGTTGGGTCAGAACCAGAACATTTCCTCCTGGTTCCTGTATTAAAGCTTAACAATAAAAGCATGAAGGTTTCAGTCCGACTCGTTTTTTTAAGTTTAATAAACTGAAAGCAGACTGAGTCAAAGTGATTTTCAGTGTTTTCCTGTCAAAGTGCGTTTAGCTGTTTGTTGCCATAGAAACCGTTTTATCATCACCGGCCAAATTCAAGATAAAAACTCCGGCATCAAACCTGTGTGACGAAAACGGCCCCCGCGCCGCACTTTGGACACCCATAAACACTGGACCCGCTGCATCAGAACCAATGAGGCCAAGAGTGAATTCAGCCAGACATTTTTAAAGTTCTGGACCGGTTCAGTCTGGATCGGGTTTGTCCGGACCAGGTCAGTCTGGATCGGGTCAGTCCGGACCGGGTCGGATTCCTGTGGCGCCGCCTGGACAGGACGGCGGACCGAAGACATCCTCACAGTCGGGACATTTTGGACAAAATATTAAGTCAAAATATTGAATCCATAAAAACAAAGAAAAAACATAAAATAGTTTTTATTTTCACTGCTGGAGTTTTTTCCTCTTTAATTCAAAATATCATTTATAATTTAAATAATCCAGATTAATAACATTAAATACATGTAATGAATATATTTATGTCAGACACATCAGCTGCTCTTTATTCCTTAAATCTTAAATATTTTCAATTTGTCTAAAATCAAAATCTAAACTTTTATGATCTCCTATGGAAATTTAAAGGTTCTCTTTTGGCCCGGTTCTGGTTCTGCCGAACATCCAGATCTTTGCTTCTACTTGTTTTGATCAGGGGCATCTTAGTTGCCTGGCTGCAGTTGCCACGGTAACGGACCAGGTAAGCCCAGGTTACCGGCCTCTGGATCCTTCAGTCTCAGCTGTAAGTAAAAGGAGAATCAGGACAGAGAAAGTTTCCATTTATGTCTAAGCTGATCAAACAGTTTGGATTAAATCGTTTGAAACGGTTTGGATTAAATCGTTTGATTCACTGAGCTTCAGGTTTGAGACTGACGGACATTCAGGTCATTCCTAAAAACAGGAAACAGGAGAACATGGCGACAGAGGAACGACTGGTCAGGCAGTGTGAGCCCCCTGCTGGACAACTCCAGAACAACACCACACACACAAGCGGACTTTAACTAGACCCAGGTGAACCACAGTTCAACACGGTGGAGGACCGGTGGATTACAGAATCAGATTAGATCATTCTGATCACAGCGCCTCTTAGAGGCCAGTTGGGGGAATGAGACCCAATGACCTTTGACCCCTGGCCCACCGCAGGTTTAAGACGGAGCAGATCCCATCCAGCTTCTGTGAGACAGAGTAAAACCAGAAGGCCTAGTCCAAGTCTGAGACCACGGGGAAGGATCCGGCTTTACTGGGAAGCGTTGGCGGTGTAACTGTAGAAGAACCGCTCATCGGGTCGGAAACTCCAGTCGCTGACGGGTCGGTCCGCCGGAACCGGAACTGACGGGACAAACTGGTCCAAACTGCTGAAGGACAAAGAGAGAACCAGAATAAGAACCAGAACATTTCAGGAACACAGCAGATCAAACACGTCATATAATCAATAATTATTACAACCAATAACTAAACATTTCATTTTGTAAAGTTCCATCATCAAAATAATCATGATTAATAAACAGAATATTGATCAGCTGATTTGGTATAAGTTGATCAGTACAGCAGCTGTAACCAGTTTTTAGTCTAGATTTAAAATGTTTGGGCATATCAGCCAAGCCTGTTGAACAATATAAACTATGTATCGAGTATCTAGTTGATTTACGTTGGATCAACATTATTAGCTTTTCCTTCTTTCCTTTGGTTTGTTGTTTAGTTTGTATTTCCTTGTAAATCCTGTAAAGTGCTTTGTATTGCCTTGTTGCTGGAAATCTGCTCTATAAATAAAACGATCTTTGTCTTTGCACATTTAGAAACATTTTCTCTATTATTCTTACAGCCATATTAAAAATATTTCATCTCTTCCTTCTGCCTCTGTTGGGGAAATGAAAGATGTCAAACTTTATATTTTTACTGCAACTTAGTGATGATGTTACTTTCCCAAAGTTATAATAATAAGGCAAACCTAAATACCACTCTGCGTTTCAGAATTTATACATTTTTATTTCAGATTTCAGTTTGTTATTTCTGTAAAAGTTCAAATCAGTCACCATAATTACACTGGTATGATGTAAGCTAAGTACAAATTATGCTAATGCTAGCAGTTAGCCGGAAAAGGGTAGAGTGCCTTCTCCGGGTCAGGGGGGTCGTCCTGCCTCAAGTGGAGGAGTTTAAGTATCTGGGGATCTTGTTCACGAATGAGGGAAGAGGGTAGCGGGAGATCGACAGGCGGATTGGGGCAGCGTCTGCTGGGAAGCGGGCGCTGTACTGGTCGGACGTGGTGAAGAGAGAGCTGAGTCAAAAAGCGAAGCTCTCGATTTACCGGTCGATCTATGCTCCTACCCTCATCTATGGTCATGAGCTTTGGGTCATGACCGAAAGAACGAGGTCCCGGATACAAGCGGCCGAAATGGGTTTCCTCCGCAGGGTGGCTGGGCTCTCCCTTAGAGATAGGGTGAGAAGCTCGGTCATCCGGGAGGGACTCAGAGTAGAGCCGCTGCTCCTCCACGTCGAGAGGAGCCAGTTGAGGCTCGGGCATCTGGCAAGGATGCCTCCTGGACGCCTCCCTGGTGAGGTGTTCCGGGCACGTCCCACCGGGAGGAGGCCCCGGGGAAGCCCCAGGACACGCTGGAGGGACTATGTCTCTCAGCTGGCCAGGGAACGCCTTGGGGTTCCCCCGGAGGAGCTGGAAGAAGTGGCTGGGGAGAGTGAAGTCTGGGCCGCCCTTCTGAAGCTGCTGCCCCCGCGACCCGATCCCGGATAAGCGGAAGAAGATGGATGGATGGATAGCAGTTTGTAGCTTAGCAACGATGAAGCTTATGGTTGGTTGGGGGCCCCAAATGAAAATGTGCTCAGGGCCCCAGAGGGCTGGTCCCGGCCCTGCTGTGCAGTAATCACTAAGATAAGCATGGATCAGTTCCTCTGGATCCTCTGACCTTTGATGACCTTCAGCTGACAGAAGGCCGACCTTGGAGCCGTCTTCATGACCCTGAAGGTTAAACCTCCACAGTTCAGAATAGCTGAAGCTGCAGAGACAGAACTCACCACTAGGTGGAGCTCTCACTCCACTCCCAAACCTCCTCTGGGCCCAATCCGTCCTCCAGCCATGAACCGGACCAGCAGGGGCCCGGAACGGTCCAGCCGTCCACAGTGGGAGTGGGAACCAGGAGTTCATGGCTGGAAGGGATCGCCGTGGAGACGGAGGAGGAGGGAGAGGAAGAAGAGGAGGAGAAAGGCCCTGGAGGGCTGGGGGGTTGGCTCACATCGTGACCTCACATCGTGACCTCACATCACATCATCGTGACCTCACATCGTGACCTCACATCGTGACCTCACATCCAGAACTTTTGGGATTTCTCCAGAAGGTGGGAGCGTTTCTCTTCCTGTCCGGCTAAAATACGAGCTGCTTGCTTTTCCCCGCCGTGCTGCAGTCATGGCGAGTTTTTATCTAAATTATTTCCAGCGCCTCTTCTTCTCCTCCGCCATGTTTCCCTCCCCCTCATCCCTCCATCCCGGGGCAGAAATATGTCCCTTCCCTCTCCACACGCTACGGCTGTCAGATAGGATTTGGGATTTGGGCTAAAGGAGGAACAGTGAAGCTCTGATCATGGCGGGATCCGGACCGGACCGGACCGGACCAGGAGGAGAATCTGAGACACTTCCCCTTAAGAAGCCGCATTAGAGGGAATTTATCGCCTCAGTTTTACCTTCAGCTGCCAGGATATCTGAGAAAGGAAATTAATTTTCCATCATTTTGTCTGCAGTTCCTGTGGATGGAGTCAAAACGTCCCAGCGGTGAAAATGATAAATGTCTTTCACAGTCTACCAAACATTTCACCAGAATATTAAAATCTGAGGAACCACAAAAACTACTACTGTTAATCAGAATTCAATATAAATTTCTTGTCTTTTTTGTTTCTATCCACCCAGTTATAAACTGAAGCTGCAGGATTTATAGAAATGAAAGCAGTCTGAATTTTTCAGAAAAGTGAAACGTGTTTAAATCTGCAGCTGAATCAAACCTGTTGGATGATTCATTTTCTATTTACAGTGAAAAACTGGTTAATAAAAACATAGTTACTTACATTTTAATGCATTTAAAATTTGATGCAATTAATTCCTTCGTTTCTTTGTAAACAGGATCCAGAGAGAACATTTGTATTCCCATGTTTCAGCCTCATACATCCCTAAAGCAAAACGGAGCGTCGGAGCGACTGAGCGACTGAGCGACGGAACGTCGGAACGTCAGAGCGTCGGAGCGTCGGAACGTCGGAGCATCGGAGCGTCGGAGCGTCTTCTTCTCTCAGGCCTCTGGTATTAATTTCTGCTTGTAAACGATCTGATTGGACTCTGGAAAAAACTGTTATGTTCAGTGGTGCTAACGGAGTTAGCCTGTCAGATGTTAGAATAACCTAAATAACAGATTAGAAACAATTAATATTGTTGTTCAGTTTATATGTCTACTCAGTAATTTAGCAGCATAATTTTGTACTAAAATGTTCCTGTATTTATTGGATGCCGGACTCTGTAGAAAGGCTTCCACAGCCTCATCAGCTCCTCCTTCCTCCAACCCGTTTCATGGGTTCAACTTAAACTCTTTATGTTTCAGTTCTGGAACTGAAACTTCAGGAAACTGGAAATCGGCCTATTTAAAGCAGGAAGAGCCTTAAAATCATTTTTATCGTTTCTATCAGGTGATGTTCAGCGTTCCTGTGGACAGACTCAGACACGTTCCTGACGTTCCGGCCCGGCTCTCTGAGGTCCGATTCACACTGTATTTCACGCGGTTCAGAACCGGCTCTGATTATTCTGCTGAGTCCAAATGAAAGGCGAGCGGCTCCCCCGCCGCTCCGGGCTGTCAGAGACGGGCTGACAGACGGGAAAACGGGAAAATACAAACACCACGGAGGTGAAGCGTCTGTCGTCTGCTCGGATCGGGTTCTGGACCCGGCCGCGGCCAAGGAAAACATTCCTGCCGACAGGAGCTTCATCTCACGCGAGCAGCGCTCCGATAATGGGACAAATTTCTCTGAATCAACTCTGGATTTCCCAAACGATCCATCAACTCAGCCGTGGATCCCATCAGCTGCTGCCTGGTTCTGGGGACTCGCAGGAAACCCGAGGTCGGTTCTGGTGATAACAGCAATGAGTTTTTAATTCCCAGCCATCGGCTTTAAGTTTCAGGCCGGAATGTCGGAATGGGATTGGGAATGGAGTGGGTAGATCCACTGGAGCCGCGGAGGCGGCCGGAGAGTGTTTGTTCTCAAAGCTTCTCAGAGGGTGGAGCGATGCCTTCAGGGACCGGTCCGATAACCCGGTCAGCCAGCAGGGGAACCGGCGCCGGTCAGAGTTCAGTGCTTCCTAACAAACACGGAGTACCGGAGTTTCAGGCCTGGACTGTCCAGGTAGGATTAGGGACATTAACATCGGAACCGGTCCGATAAAACTGGGCCGATGTTGACAACCGATGTTTATTCTGGCCTGGCTGTGGTCATGTGCTGTGATGTCATAGTTACCTGGAAAGAGTAACTTTAGATTATTGATCACTGATTAGATCATTTTGAAAGTAACTAGTTGAGATTACAAGTTACTTCATTAGTTACTTTCTGGCTCCGCCCCCTCGGTGAGCCTGAACTGTTTTAATGCAGCATTTCCTTGACCACATCCTGCCTGACCCACTTCTTCTACTCCACTTCCTGGTTTTGTACTTTGACTAGGCCATGCTGTGACTCCAAGGTTTGTTCAAACTCGGATTTTGAAGCTCTGTAGTTTGACAGTCTGGATCAGTTTATGGTTTCTAAACGGCAGAGAAATGTCTATAATATCGGTAATATCGATTAGCGATATAAATATCGGAGCTTGGTATTGGCCCCAAGTTTCCCATCATGCCTCTCTGTTTCGGAAACGCTGGACCGTCAGCTCGGCGTGTTGGATACCTGCTCAGGTTTCCGGCCTCTCCCAGCTCGCTGCTCTGGATGTCTGCGTAGAAACTGGGGCTGATGGATCCGTCTCCGGAGAGAATCCCATCTGAACGACACGACACACTCAGACCCGAACCGAACACCGGGTCCGTTCCCACACGGGGCTCTGAAGGCTCCGGGTACCTGCGGCGTAGAACAGGTCCGGCCGCTCCAGCACGTCCCGGTTCCCGCTGAAGGACTCCCCGTCGTCTCCGGACAGGAAGGGCTCGTCCAGCTGGCGGTTCTCCACCATCTCCAGCCACTGGCTGTTGTAGTAGCAGAACTTCGCCGTCTGGATCTTCTTCGCCCACTCCTCGTCGTATTCCTGAGGAGAGACGAAGCGGGACAGATGATTCGGCTGCAGGTGAACACTCAGAGGAATTATGGGAAGGACTACAGCTTTCTGGAAGCTCAACTATCAGGATCCGTTTTAACATTTCGGTCAGATAAAGTCTGGTTCGGTTCCTCTGCTGCCTGGACAGATAAAGTCCAAACTCAGGACCCTGAAGCTTAGTCAGCAATATTTAGCTTGGAAGATATACATCATCATACTTTTCTAATATTTCCCATTAGCCACTTGATGAAAAAGACCAAGAAAATCTACATGATTGCTATAGTTCAGATTGTTTGGACTCTGATCAGACATTCATCTAGTTGGTGATTTTAGTGTGAAAATTCATTTTCCACAACCATCATGTCAGCCATCTTAAAAAATCCAAGCATTATTTGAAGGTATGATTTCTAAGAGTCCATTTATGTGAGATTTGGCACTAAAAGTATTCATCTGTGATAAACCTTGCCAGCCATGGCGGCCATCTTTAAAAGCTTGGCTCGTGTTTCTACAGGTGAAGGATTTTTGCTGAAATGTTTTGTTTCCCTGCAGCTTCAATACTCTGAACCTCAGTCTTCATCACGCAGCGTTCATCTTCATCATCATCAGGAGCAGAGCCAGCGGCGGCGCCGGGGTTAGTGACACTAATCGGTTATTGATCAGCAGTGAGAGCTCGTCTACTTCCTGTTTGGAGCTTCTAGAAATTTCTCCATGAATCTGAGTTTGTCCTCAGCTGCTCTGATCAAAGGTGAGTCGTTCAGGACTCCTGTTCGCTGTGTGTGTGTGTGTGTGTGTGTGTGTGTGTGTTCGCTGTGTGTGTGTGTGTGTGTGTTCGCTGTGTGTGTGTGTGTGTGTGTGTTCGCTGTGTGTGTGTTCGCTGTGTGTGTGTGTGTGTGTGTTCGCTGTGTGTGTGTGTGTGTTCGCTGTGTGTGTGTGTGTGTGTTTCCCCTGACGGCGCCGTCGGCCCCTGACACTCTCCAGATGCCCCTCCTGCCTCTCATGTGGCGCAGCGTAAATCGCCTCCCTGATAATTTAAATGAAACACTTCCTTCGGTCCGATTGGCCGCCTGGTTTTAATCTGCAGATAATTACGCTGATCTGAGGTCTGGCAGCGCTCACGCTGCGGCCGGCAGCGAACCGCAGCCGTCAATCACTGGCCGGTCTGCCAGCTGATGGACGGATGGTCAAACATCAGGAGAACACAATAAAATATTAAAAATATCTAACATTTCTGATTTTATTGAGAAAACAAATTGAAATCAGGTTTTAAGAGGTTTCAGACGAGAAGATTTGATTTCCTGTTTCTCTCTCAGAAAAACCTGGAAAACTGAGGATCTATAGTTCATATTATCCAGTAATTATGTAAATAAAAGCCTAAATCTGACAGTTAAATAATCAGTAACAGATTAAAAAGAATAAATATCTCTATAGTTCAGCTAATATGTCTATTTATTTCATACGTTTTCTGAATTAAAATGTTGCTTATTTTATCAATATATTGTTTTTGATTAAAATGCAGTTAATTAATTACAGATCCTGCGATGAACAGAATAAAAGCTTTAACAGAGTCCCAACAGGAAGAAGAGTTACTGACTGAGCAAAATAAAACGGGTTTCATCTCTTCCTGCTGCAGCTTCGTTATTCCTAAATGAAAAATGATTAAAATATAACAGTTACATGAAGTCACGCAGCCTGCAGGTCGACTACAAGGATGAAAATGTTTAAGTCTTCAGAACCTTGACTTGGACTTGTAGAAAATTACTTTAGTCTCTGTTCATCATGCTTTTATTTTGGTGGGGACTCGCTGATAACATCCTGGTTCTGCTTGCAGCAGAAGAATAAAGATTATGAAATGTTTTCTGTTCAGAGCCTTCAGAAGGTTAGTAAACCAACGAAGAGTCGAAGGAAAGAAGGATTTTAGTGACCACAGATAAAAATGAGCTCCTAACAGAAACCAGTCCCTGGTGACTCATAACTACGATTTAATGATCATCACTGACAGACTACCGCCCTCCTCCAGCAGGGGGAGCCGTTCCTGCAGGCGCCACTCACCGCTATGATGTCCAGGGTGTTGTCACACACTCGGCGGATGGCGGCGTTGCCGTCGTGCATCAGGTCGACGAAGTACGCCGGAGCTTCTGCTGTCGGGAGTAAAGGAGAAGATTTCCTGGAACGGCGTCAGGTGAATGAGGATGAATGGGGATGAATGATGATGAATGAGGATGAATGGGAATGAAAGAGGATGAATGAGGATCAATGGGGATGAATGGGAATGAATGGGAATGAATGAGGATGAATGGGGATCAATGGGGATGAATGGGGATGAATGAGGATGAATGGGAATGAAAGAGGATGAATGAGGATCAATGAGGATGAATGGGAATGAATGGGAATGAATGAGGATGAATGGGGATCAATGGGGATGAATGGGGATGAATGAGGATGAATGGGAATGAAAGAGGATGAATGAGGATGAATGAGGATGAATGGGAATGAATGGGAATGAATGAGGATGAATGAGGATTAATGGG